AATTATTTTATTAATAGCAATAAACAAGATAAAATATAATATAAATAGTTTTAATTTTATAACTTATAATTATTTTAATATTTAAAGTATTCAGTTCTAAAGTTAATTTATAAAACAAAAAGATCTTATTTATAAGAAATAAAATGAATATAAAATATAAATAAATTAATAATAATTTATAATTAAAATATATATGGATTGAACAGAATTAATTAACTTAATTTGTATCTTTAGAAAATAACTAATTATAATCTAATAATTAATAATATAATAAATAATAATAATATAAAAGAATAAATAAAATTATAAAAGAATAATTAAAAGAAATCTAATTAAAAATATTAATTAACTAAATTAATAATATAGATATATATGATAATTATCTGTATAATAAATATGTTAAATTAAATATATTAAATATATAGATAATTATCTATATATTCAAAATGAAATTGATCTTTATAAAAAGTGATATAGAAGTTAATCTATTATACAGATAGTGTAAAATAAAGATTTGAGTTAAAGAGAGATAATCTAATCAAAATTATTATATATATAATAGTATTTTTAAAAATATTTATTAATATATAAATAAAAAAGAATGAAAATTCTACTAAGAATATTATCTATAACTAAATAACTCAAGTAATTATATAATTTATAATATAATTAGATAATTATAATATAAAAAATTATATATGTTGCAATATTATGATATATATAATCTATAAACTAATTTATTAAATTTTAATTATTTAAAAATTAAAAGTATTAATAAAAAATTTATTAATTTTTAAACTTAAATTTAAATTTATTATATAATATTATATAATTAAATATTTCAATAAATTTTTAATTAATTATTTAATAAGTTTATATACTTAATAAATTCTGTTATAAAGTTATCAAATTACTTAATATTCTTATATATAATTTAAATTTATTATTAAATAGTAATTTTTTTATTAATAATTTTATTTATATTCTTAAAAAAATAAATAATTTTGAAAATTTATTAATTAATTAATAAATTTTGAATCAAAAATATTAAAATATTTAATAATTATTTTAGATAAATTTAATAATAAATATTCAAAATTTTAAAATAAAAAAAGAATTAAATAATATATTTAATTTAAATAATTTAGTAAAAATTCTTAATAAGTTAATCAAATTTATAATAATTTAATATATAAAAAATTATTATTCTAATTTATTAATTTAAGAATAATAATTAGAATTTTATAAAATAGTTATATAATTTGAATTATTACTAAAACTAATAGAATTGTTATTATTAGTTTTAATACTTTTGAATTAAATAAATAATTTAATATAAATTATAATAAATATAATTTTAAATATTATTTTACCTTGAAATTTTGATTATTTTAAAAAGTATAATAATAGCAAAATAAATTTTAAACTATTAAATAAATCAAAACTATAAAGAAATATATAAATTATTTTATAAAATTATTAATAAAAGTAAATTCTAAAGAAAATTATCTAATAAAATATTAAATTAATTATTTAAAAAGAAATTCAAATCAGAAATTTAAAAATAAATCAATTTAAATACTTAATAAATTATGAATAATATTATTAAAATTATAAAAATATTAAAAAGCTTATTATAATATTATTGAATAAATTTTAAATTTATTAAAAATTTATATTTTATAAATAAAAATAAAAATATAATATTTTATAATTTATATATTTTTTATATATAAAATCAAATATATTTAAAAAAAAGGAAAGTTTAATTATTTTTAAAATTGATAATATATTATATTTATAATTGATATTATAAGATTCAGAATTTTTATATAATATATAGAATAATAAAAAATTGTTAAATTTATTTGATAATTTAAATATATCTTCTTTATAATCTAAAAATTAAAATATTTTATAAAATTATTATTAATTATATATTATCATGCTTTTTCTCAATAAAATTTATTATAAAAAAAAGTCAGATTCAATAAATATTAAGCTTATATTATTAAAAATACTATTAAGTAATCTTATTATTTTATTATCATTATATTATAAGGAATATATTTATAAATTTTGGCATAACTCTGATAATTTTTTTATTAAATACTTACTAAAGATATAAAGTTAGTTATATTTATAATTATTTTTAGTTTTTTATAATTTAATAATATTTTTAATAAGATATTATACTAATATATCTTAAATAATTTTGTTTTTCATATCAAAAAATATATATTTATAAATTTTCATATAACTATATTCATTTTTTATCAAATAATTAATATATAAATTTAAAACTTTCAAATCTTTATGAAATTAATTATATTTCTTTTTAAAAGTGATGATATATTTCTTTTGATTATTTATTTATTTAAAAATAAAATTATATGAAATATATAAATTTTATAAATTTTATTTTATATATTATATAAAAGTTACATTTACAAATATAATCTTTCCTTTTATTTTAAAAAAATAATAATTATATTAATATAAGTCACATTGTTATTGAATAAAGATTATAAATCTACAATCTTGATGAAGAATTTTTCTTTTATGATATTATATCAAAAGAAAATATTACAAATCTTCTGTTATTCATCTTAAAAAAACTTGAAACAACTGGTTCTGTAAATAATTTGCCAAATTAAATATCATGAGTATAATATTGTATAGTTTATTTCAAAATAATAATATATTTAATATAAGCAATAGTACTTATAAGAAAAACTTTGCACAGACATGATTTATCTGCAAGAATTAAATGAAAAAAGTCTTATTTAAGTAAAAAATATCAAAAATTATGTTTTAAATTTAGTATTATGATTTGGGGCTTCTTTCAGAGTTAGAAATATCATATGCATTTATGATACCATGCTCAAGAATTGTATTGCAAAATATTAATGGATGACTTGTTGGAAATTATCAAGTATAATGTATTAGATAAAAATAATATTATTTGTATGCAAGATAATGATCCAAAACATGTGGCTAATAAAATGATGGAATAGTTTAATGATAATGGAATTAATGAAATGGAATGGCCACCTTAATTCCCCAATTTAAATCCAATTGAACATCTCTGGAATGAAGTAGATAGATGTCTGAACTATCAGACATCCCAATCAACAATCAAGATCAATTGTGAAATGCAATTCAACAAATTTGGATTATGAATTTATAACTTGGCTAATTGAAGTCCGAGCGAATGGATGATGTAATTAATGTTAAAAAAGGGTATACTAGATGGCAAAGAGTGTCTTGTTAAATTTTATTAAATTTATTTGTTAGTTAGTTGGCAATAGCGTTTTAATTTTTATATTTTATATGATTTGCCGATTATGTATATTTAAATTTATGGATTTTAATGTATGCGCGTGAAGTTATTAACGTTAAAATTTTAAATGGGTGATGCAAAACATTTGGTGGACACTGTATCGATAATGTCACGATTTAGATCTGGCTGGCGTTAGTGGAAATCAAATCTGCTTATGACTATTGCATCAAATTTCTTTTTCTTCTTGCTATAAAAAATTGACCAATTTTCAGATAACAACCGCACATTTACATTGTTCTTAGATACCACAACCACTTTTTTTGATATTTTGTCATGAAATTCTTAAAAAGGCCATATCGATATTGGCTGATTTACTATGAAACTCCCATTTTCATTTTATTGGTGACAATCAATTGCTAATTATGGATAATACTTGCATTATCAATGAAAATGAAAGATTACATAAATTGAATAAACTATTCACGCTCAATAGAAATTTTCAATTGTACTTGAATTATTCACAATGATGATATTATATTAAAAATATATTCGCATCATATTGTTGATTTTGTCAATAAAGAAAACGAAAAATTACAAAAAACTACCATTCACCCTCCAAACAATTACTCGCCGCTGATATTTTAAGCTGTTCTTTTCTTAATTTACTATCGGAACTCCTTCAAGTTTTATCCGTGACTAATGGCTTTCTCAGAAGTATTATATAAGAGAAAATGACATTCAATTTAGGGGGTTAGCGAAAATCTGATACATGTAGAGCACATGACTATTACATTGTACTACCTATAGGTATTTAGCAAAGTAGAATCATATGGTCTTAGAATACTGAATGGCAAAAATCATTTACTAGGAATAATAAAATAATGTGCAGGTTGCTATATACTTTAACCTTCGATAATTTATGCGTAAAGACAATAACTTTTTGGCGAAATTGAAGATTTATATAGAATTTCACAAAAGATTTTGTTATTAAATTTTATCGTTGTCGCTAATCCGCGGCGTAAATTCCATCTAAATTGATATCACAAATTTCACTAATACATGTAGTGAAAGAACAAAATGGCATAACAAATAATTTAATCGAGTTTTGATCTTGACTCTGTATTTACGCTTGTGTGAATAACGATAATAAGTCGATACTCAAAAAAAAGTAATAGATGTAATGAGTCTTGTCTTGTCATAGCATCTTATTTTTATTGACGCAGATACTGCTGTGCTGTCTAGTCTTTTTATGGTGGAACTCTCGATATAATGGATAATTCTAAAACTATCGACGTTGTATAACATGCTGGAAAGATTTTTTTTGATACACTAAAAATGTTGATCTTAATAACGATAGATATATGTTAATTTTATTACAAAAAAGAAATGATTACAATTAAAAAATATAAAATACATTGTACATGTACATTCAATACCAATACATGCTTAAATTGTTCTGTCCCAACCCCCCAATAGCAATAGTAATTTATCAGTTAATCATAACGATAAAATCTAATCTCTCAATTAGCGTTAGTAATAGTGCTATTACTTAATCCTGGACGTTGGATATTCAATTGGGGACTAACCCATATTTCCCAATCTCCTTTATTCTTTTCATTGCCGTACAATTTCAAGACTGACACTACTAGTCGATATGATCCGTTTGGAACTTCAACATTACGTATACCATCAACGGTATTCACTCTTCCATTCCAGGGAATAGGAGTAGCAAGAATAGGGCCGGTATCTTGATTTCGTGAAACGTAAAAATTTACACCGCCCATTGCAATTTTACCCAACGAGTCTGGAACTATATTGACTTGAATATCGGGCGTTGTCGTTGGTGCACCAGATGAAATACCGGGGGTTTGCTCAACTTGAGGAATTCGTCGATATAATATACGAAGTGATCTTTTGGGTCTCGTTTTCGATTTTGACTTTGATTTTGACTTTGACTTTGACTTTGATTTTGACTTACTGCTTTTTTTTGTATTCTTGTCACTTGAAGTTTCGACTGGAGCCGAATCTGGTTTTGAAGGAGCACTTGGTGGCGAATCATCGTCATTTTGACTTCCAACATTCGATTGATCTTTGGAGTCCGCTGGGACTACATCCACGGTCATAATACGAGTTCCTTGTCCAAGGCGTACAATTAATGTTGGAATATCATCGGCTTGCATGGTAAAAGTCGCACTTTGATTGCGATCTGTAAAAATGTCAAAGTTCTTGTTTTGAATGAATGGTGTACCAACAGCAGTATCGAGAATTGGAAGTGTTTTATAGAGCCCTTTCATTCCCATATACGGTACACTGTACGATTTGTTATTGGCTTCGTCCGAAAAGAGAACAAACCCAGAGAACAAGGAATATGAATTCTCATCTAAATCAGGTGGAGGCATGATTACAGCTCTAATACTCTTTGATTGTCCTGGTCCAAGCGTAAATGAAGATTCTGAAAAGTTTACCTCGGCAAATGAGTTTAGGAATATTGGTTGTGGTTCTGGCACGAATGTATCCGAGAAATTGTATCCATTTATTGCTTGTGCTCCAACATGTGTAACTTTAAATGTCACGGTGTCGTTTCCAGAATTTTTGATCGTTAATGTGTTCAGAGCTTTGTAATTCCCGGTGTCATTTAAGGCGAGCTTAGAAGGCGTGATACTAATCTTTGAAGATAATGCATCCAATAAATTAACAAGTCCTGCACCTTGTTTATTAATCGATGCTTGCGGTGATGTCTGATTTAATGTATGATTTGATGCAGTAACTGGATGTGCGGTATTCATTAACAATCTTTTCGTTTCATCTGCACTTAATTTACCCTTTGCCTCGAAAATAACCGCCACACAACCTGCCAAATACGGTGATGCCATACTCGTTCCCGACAGTGTTTTATAAGAACCAAGTTTAACGGGATACGTGCTAAAGATTTCACCACCCGGCGCAGCTATTTCAGGCTTAATGTCCAACTCATTCGAGGGTCCCAACGAACTGAAGTCTGATAATTTTCCAGCTGTCGGATTCGAGAACGGCAAAGTATCATTGTAAAAAGTCACTGTGACATTCTTGTTCTTTTGTATTTGGTCGAATATGAGTTTACCATGCACTGCACGAACTAACGCGGATGGAATTTTTATGGTTGGAGAATCTGTAATTGGCGTGAAAAGCACGGAATCAACGTTATCGTAGAATAGAACCCCGACCGCACCGGCTGCTTGAGCATTCGCCAATTTTTTTGTGAACACACAGGCTCCACGTCGAATCAATGCGATTTTTCCGGTTAGAGAGTTTGCTGGTAGAGTATTACACGCGTCATTGGTCACTTGGGTGTTATTACTTGTAGGCACGATTTCGGGATTTCCACTAATATTAAATCGTGTCAAATTCTGAGTGAAGTATTCAATCTTTTGATCAGGTGCGGAACTGATTGTTAGATAATATGATAGGAATTTCGTGTTATCAACTGAAGCGACTGAAATCGCGCTTAGTGCTACGCCAGGAGATTGAACCTGGAAGATTCCTTGATCACCATCGTTACCAACTGCAGCTACTATAATTATCCCTTGAGCTGCAAGTTTTTCAGCGACCGCAGCTGTAGGCAATTCTGCCCAGCCACCACCAAAAGCTCCAAGTGAAAGGTTAATGATATCCATTCCATCGTCGGCTGCTCGTTCCATTGCTTTAATCACTAAATCATTAGTCGATGTGCCATTGCATCCAAAAATTCTGTATATACCCAACGTCGCTAAAAATGGTGATCAATGAATAACTCATAAATGACGTTGGATTAATGACACATAAGCGAAAACAAAAAATACTTACCACCGGGCGCGACACCAGTAAAATTTTTGACCTTATCATCGGCAGCGAGAATTCCAGCAACATGCGTTCCGTGTCCGGAACATTGATCCAATGGGTCATCGTCACTATGTGGTGTATTAGTACCATTGAACGTGTCACCAACAAAATCATATCCAAATTGAATTTTACATCCTTCCGTCTTGAAACAATTACCAAATGCTGGGTGTGTATAATCAATTCCAGTATCAACTATTCCCACCTGATATGATTTTAGTGATAAAGTTAATTCAAGAATTTTTATGTCATTTGTTGTCGGACAGAAAACGCATGATTCTCTTACCTTGACATTTTTTCCAGTGTAATTCGTTTGTGCTCGAACTTCAGCAACTCCGGTCAATCCATCAGCAAAGAGAACTGATGGAGAAACTTGATTATCATCATTACTCACTATTACTTTTGGTCGTCCAACAATCGTCTATACATGTGTATAATTAATTTATTAATGAAATCAAACTAATCAACATATTAAGAATAGCTATATGTGATGAATATAATGATAATCTCTGTATCACTTACCACAGGCCAAATATTCTTTATATATTTCAAACCGTTCAACTTGCCCAAATCGTCTTGACTATTAACAGTGATCGACACACCGTCAAAAAACTTGAACGTATTCCGTAGTGTGAAATTCACACCCGACGATTTAATGAGTCCCAAGAAATTTTGCGCCAACGACGAAACTGATTGGCCGTTCATATCGAAAAATTGGTCGAGGTTGGCCACGTTCAGATTCAATGTTTTCGGCAGTGCTGATTGGTTATATTGGACAAAGTATGTTCGCGGGAGAAAAGCATGAAGATCAAATGGCCCTATTTTGACTTTGGTTGCTGCGGCTGTAGATAGCAGGTGCGTGGAGTATAGTAATAGTAATGTCGTGATCATCAGTAGTGTTGATGACGTTTGCCAAGAGTATTTCCGCATTTTGATATGTATTGTTATTGCTATGTATTAATAAATGTTTATGTTTTTAACGACGACGATGCGATAAAAATAGCCACTATTGTACAAGAAGCAAAAAAAATTCTATTATACAATTATAAGTTTGATGCAATAGGAAAGAGGTAAAATAAAAAAATCTATTCCTTTATTTGTGTATTTACTAACTTGCGAAAAGAAAAAAAAAATTACACAGTGTACGAAAAAACGCGCCAGGCGCTCTTAGTAATAATGGAGTATAGTAGATACCGAAATTAGGGTATGTATGACTGTATGGTGTGTGATCTGTAAACGATCTAAAAATAACTAACACACACGACCTTAATGAATGAAACAGAAAAACTATAAAAATTTCGGAACAAAACGTCCTTGCGTTTTCGTCCCAATACTTTGGATTGAAATATATGAAAAAAATTAGTGAATGAATGAATGAATGGCGTGTGCGTGTGAGTCTCGGTGTATAGGTAGGTATTATTGTGGTGCGGTATTTGAAGGATTAGTAAACAATGATCAAAACGATAAATGCCTGACTAACTTTAGGCACGAAAGTGTGCACTGACTGTTGGTCTGCCTTTACGTTTTGTCGTTTCGTGAACGATATTTACTTTAATCGAGAATAATAATCTCCCTGTGAGGAAGGATATATTTCCTTTTTACCCTTCCTTATATAACTTTATTTAATTAACACTTGCTTGCTATTTTTGTAATATAATACTATTTATATACATGTAATACCCATTTATTTCCATACTGCATGTAACATGGCATGTTGTAATACATGCACATGTATATCGGCCTAGCGTACAAAATTTGATGTTAATGCAGTCCCAATTGTTGTTTGATTGTATAACCTCTTTTTTTTACGTTGATAAGAGAGGATGTGTAATTATAATTATGGCAAAATTTAATTATGATTTGAGCTTTTAAGACAGATGGTGTCAGCATGGAACGCTGAATTTAGTAAAGGTTGCGCAAAAAAATAACTACATTTGTATAAATTCATTGTTTATCGTCATTTTAGTGGGGGATGTCTTTTTTCTCGCATATACTGTACTTAATATAATGTAATGTAACGATATATTGTATTGTTTAGCACATGCGAAAGTACTATATCTCAATTCTTTGTTACCTTTGTGCGTAAACATTAATTTCATTTCATTTCTGCAGAGAATTACAAAGTTTTCAACTGCTGATACTTTGTGGTTTTTTCTTTCAACGAACGAGGTTTAAAGAAAACCATGACAAAAAAGAATTTTAACGGACAAACGCATGTCATTTAACAATGGTTTTTCTTCCCACAAACGAGTTTTAAGAAACCTTGACAAAAAAATTTAATGGACAAACGCACGATATTTACTTGACAATGACGTTTAAAATTTTTTTTTATCATAGTTTCATCGAATTTTATTTATGCGTATGACGATCTAACACTTTCTATTCATCCCGTGTACTCCACAAAACAAAACAAATCTAAAGTATGCGTACCGTTTGCTAAAACTGTCGGCCAGCATTAATATTTTGAAACAAACTGAATGGTTGATTGACTTGTGTCATCCAGTTATGCATTCTATGCGTGTTGCGAACGACCACAAGAGATTATAGATGTGCAGGACATAAAGTGGTTCGTCGTGAGAATGCTTAATCAGTTGAATCTAAAACCGGGATGTTTTTTTTGATGAGAGATATTTTCGTAAGATTAAGTTTTATTAAAAATCATTTGTTTAAATCTTATTTGTTTATCTATTCCGCTTTTTCACGATTCGTCGGAATACGCGCGGATCTATGTTGTATTTGTAGAGGAAGGATCATCTGACATAAAGTTTAAAAAAAAAACTCCAAACAGATTGACCCATAGCAGATTTACGCTTAGTCATGTGCAATGAGATGAACCAGATAAAACAAAATTTTATAAAACCTTATAAATAAATCTTTATTGATATTTTTGCATATTTTAACTATTCATAAATTAGAACTAGCAAATATTGAACTTCAAGAATATTATGCAATAAATAATATCTATTAAAATCTTAAAAAAGCTTAACATAATTGAGATTTTTTTTAAAATTTTTTTTTGGACGAGACAAGCTAAACATAACCAAATTGAAATTAAAATTAATATTGATTGTTATAGCAGACACTTTTCTTATGGTAGCTTAGAAGACCGAGATCTTAGAGGACAACAAAAAGCAAGAATAGGTAAACTTTTTTTGGGAATTGGGCAACAAATTATAATAGTTCTTTTTTTTTTGGTTTTTTTTTGAAAAAAATTAAAGAGAAAAAGAATATATACAAATTTTGGGTAAAATATATACAGAAAAAGAAGGTGGATTCTTTTCGGCAAAATATTAAAATATACAATTAGGTTATTAAAATAAATTAGAAAATTAAATATTCTATATGAAAGCTTTTTTTCATCGACCACAATTTATGAATGTTCAGTATCGCTTTGTCCGCAGCTTATATTCAATAGAATAGTTCGAGCTGGCCGCTCGAACTATTTCGTCAGCACTTTTACGGGAAGGACGTTCGTTGAAGCAGCGGCGACTTTTAAGGTAGACTCCAGGTTTGCTCTGACTTTTTTCGTGATAATTTTGGTTCTCAGTGAATGAATCCTGTCAATGCCATCTCGGAAAGGTGACAGACATTAAAAATCGTGGTCGTGAAGAAAGCAACGTCTATGCTTTTAGACTCGAACCAGGCGAGTCTAAAATTCGTGTTTTTTATCCCCACGTTCAAACTTTGTATTTATTCGGTTTTTGAGATATCGGTATTTGTTTAAATTTGGAATGTTTTGATCAAAAAAAGAAAAGAAGGAATGATTGTGTAGTAGATAAGAAATAAATTTCACTTTTAATCTGATAACTCAAATTTCAAGTGCCTAAACAATCGAGAACCTCAAACAAAACGAGCAGTTTGAAACCGTAAATTTATAAGAAAAACCGTATACACATATGTATATATGTAACTTATGCAACAATATCACACAAAGACAATATAAAAAAATTCATTCAATGGCTTTCGTGTGCCCCAGACTGAAAGATAAAAAACCTTATTAAAACCCCCTTTTTTATCAAATGCACCATAGTGTCTTGTGAACCCTGTTGATGAGTTACGTACCCCTGATAGCGACCGCCACAGCAATTGGTTGCGTACAATGACAATTTTGCTTGATTAATGGTCCAATGTGAAAATTACTCTGTTTCCATTTCTATATTAACTGATAGTAATGATATGACATTGGTAATGGTATTGGTGAATGCATTTTAATAAGCTATTCATTCATTATCTGCGCTATAATTTCTACAGTTATCGTTATTTATCAATAATTAATAATTCCTTAAATTGGCACAAATAGCATTTTTTTCTGGTGAATAATAAAGATGATGTAAGACGATTAGCAGAAATTAACCCATAAAAGGATATAATTGTTGAATCCAGCTTTTAACTTCTTAATATGGGGTTGAAAGTGAAAAAGTGAAATGTATTGAATTGATTATGATTGAATAGCGCTATTGTTTGGAAATTTTTAATAGGGCGTTCGTGTGTGAAATGCCGTTGTTGAGGAAAATAAGATGCCGGTGGCGCGGTTCAATGTGATCTCTTTCGTCTATTGTCTTTGATGACGATGCATGTGAAGTTTTATAGAGAATAAGATGTTACCGGAATCTGCCGAATTGTCTGTCTTTTTGATCAAAATTAATGGTTCTTCGGTTGAGATCGAAAGATCTAGACTAAGAGTTAAATGAAAATCTAATCGGAGTCGGAGTGATGTTAAAATTGCTTATTTTGTATTTCATATAACGACATACCTGTATATCGCTATGCAATCGTTATCTTTTTCATTCAAGTCTTGTTTTATATGCATCGATAAAACTTTATCGGAGAAACTTATCGTTTATTACTACAGACAAAAGGGAATTTTTACTATATATGGTAGTTTACATTGATTCCATTTTTAGCTGTCTTTGTTTTGACACTTGGAAAATTGTGTCCTTTGTAAAAATAGACGCAAGAAAATTTGAAAGAATATGAACAGAAACTGTATATATCAATAAGAATATTGACAATTCATGTCCCATACCAAGTCAAATCGTCACTCATATTATTAACGCAACCTCGCGTGTTTGTGTTTAAAACAAGCATCCGGCAATTTCTATAGGTTAGTCTTAAACAAAGCCTCGATGGCTATTCATATCTCGAATTTTCAATAATGAATTACGTAAATGAGAGCCTAAGTCTCGTTAAGTATTGCAATTTATTTAGTAGAAAGACTACACTATTTTAACTTTCCTAAAATTCATTGTATTTAGAAAATTTATTTTAATTGCTTTTCTTTAATGTTTGTATGCCACGCGAAATTTTTAATTAATATATAGCACATGGAAGTCTTATATCGAGTACAGAGAAACACGGCTAACCACTCTAAGACTACCGTACATGTTAAACAGTAATCACCTACATATGAACTTATTCGTACAGCTATTATGTATGTGCAATCCATTTAATTGCGCCGATAGTATATTACGTATCAAGGTATTGACTTTATTAAAGTATATTTTATACATGTATATTTCTACTCTTGATCTGATTGTATTACTGGGCTTTTTTTCAGACGGTCTTTGCCTAACACTAGGATGTTTTCTGTTCAAATGCTCTATTGTCCTGAACGCGAACTTTTGCGATTTATTCGGAGATCGAAATACACTAGGCTTGTAAAACTTATGCATGTTTGCCAATTGGTACAAGTAATCAACTTTAGCGTTAGTCTAGGAACAGCAATTGGTACAAGTAATCAACTTTCGTTAGTCTAGGAACAGCAATTGGTATAAGTAATCAACTTTAGCGTTAGTCTAGGAACAGCTTTAAAGTATCTTCCGAATCAACTTAGTCAGTTAGATATTCATGTGAGCATGTGAGCGCATTTGAAAGTGCATTTATGTGGTTTATTTAGTTAACTTCAATTGTGGAGCTAACTTAAAATTGAATTCAAACTAAATGGAACAACCATCCCTGAATTTATTGCATCAATGAAATGATCGAGGATGTTTAATCTGCAGCATTTGTAAATCTGACGGCGACAGAATCTATTCTTAGAATGTAGGAAATGGTCTAGTAGGTTTCTATTTCACTATTGAGTTTATTGGCAATTGATTGTCGTTATGCAATATTCTAATTACATATATGATTAGAATTTAGCGTTAATTTTTGATCCGAATATTAATACACGGGTGTCCGAAATGTTTCCATAAAAATATGCCACCTCGATAAATTTTAAACATGTAAAAATGAACAGATCATATGAATAATTGAATCTTGAAAAATTCTTTTTCAGTTGAAAATGAATTGCTTAAGCATTGACTAAATTTGCTCGTTTTATTTCAAAACTTATCATTGCTAGGGGTAATGAATTTTAGAGTACTGGGTTTCTCATGGTCTTTACTGGTTTTTTTTTGATATCTATAAAATTTTGATGCTTGAAAAAAATTGCTTTAAAAAATGCTGTCATTGTTTTAAAAAAAAGGTTTTTGTCTTAATGAAAATAATAATCTCTGTTTTTTCTTTGTGAATTTGCTTGCCTTTATGCCCTGGACAATGACAGAGTAAAACAACAAATTCTCTGTACAACTTAACACATTTTTTATTTATTAACGTTTGATAACCGAGTTGAACATACAAACAATGACAAAGTTTATTTTTGGAACGTAATAAAAATCACATATTACACAATTACAGGTACATGTATTTGAAATTAAAAAAAGCAAACAGGAAACTTTGGTAGAAGATATATTTTTGGACTAACTATTTAAATTATTATCCTATATTAATAAATATATGTAAAAGCTAATTAAAAAAGCCGGTGACAGTTAAATTGGATGTGCATTTATGAAACTACTGGTAGATCGATTTATAGCAAGGTCTGTTCTTGCTAAAATTTTGATATCTTCCCGAATTCTTTTTTTTGAAGAAAAATTCCTTGGCACAACAGAAGAAAAGGGGTGGGGGGCATATTACATAATACAATTCTCCGGCAACTTTAACATGTAATTGCCTCTTAAGGATAAGATTTATTTGTTTCAAATTCGCACTAAAATGCTCACCGTTAGAATATTTAAATACATGCACCTTACATGTATCTCCTGATCTATGCAGTGCAGTTAATTTCTAACCTTTCTTCGTTATTTGTGTCCCACAAATTCTCAAGCAACCATCTTTCGATTTTTTAACGCTGCAAGAAAAACGATCAATTATATGAAAAAGCAATCGGTGGTGATGAAGATGACAACAGCACTTGCAAGAAAAGACACGAATTAAAGAATTTCAAAAATAATATGACATTGCGTCATCGTGTCGTTAGTAAAAATCTTATAACTACGACGACGACGAAGACAATATAGTGACTATATGACAAGAATTGTCTCAAAATGATTTTATACTAACGAGAATAATAAATATTAAAATAAATGAGAAAAGATTTAACGAGGAAATAAATTAATGCATAAGGACATTAACGTTGAATTTCCATAAATACGCTTGATCAAGTATAAAGAATTATAATATTCCTTTTTCAATAATATCTTCCTTTATCGCTTAAACTGAAAAAATATAATATACACCAAAAAAACAAGTAGCTATAGCGATAGATTTGACATTGTAATTAGGCAATACGTAATTACAATATTAAGGTTATGGGACATGGTATTGCTCGGGAATGCAATTGTAAAGATAATAAAAATTCAATTAGTAACAACAGATGAAACCATTAAAACAGCTGCCATAAAACAGCCGTTAGATGTAAAGATTCATACCGATACGATCTGATTTACGTTGGCTTAACGTTAATCGTAACGGTAAGAATATTTTTTGAAGTATCAAAACAAAATAAAACTACCTGAAATAGAAATTTTTTGATTATTTGTTCGTAACGAATCAAATAACACAATTTGCCATACATCAATTACTAGATATGGCAAGTAGGACGTACATACATGTTATCGATATAACAATAATTGATCTCCATCATTGTGGCTGGCTGCTGACTAACTGATTATTCGGTGGAATAGTGCGTTAAATAAAATTACAGTACATTTATTATTTTCCTCTTTCTTGAGACATAATACAAATAACAATAATGAGTGCTTCAACGACATCCGAACAAATTCAAAAAGTGACCCTAAAGAGCCGCGACGAAAAAGTATATAAAGTTGATGTTGCAGTCGCAAGTCGGTCCATTTTACTGAAGAATATGATTGAAGGTTACTCGTCGCTTTTTTTTGGAAGCTGTATTTTTATTATTTTGAATATATTTCTGAAATCATTTTTCTTTTATCATGACATTTGAACAATAATAGATGTTGGTGAGTCAGACCAAGCAATTCCGCTGCCGAATGTTGACGAAAAAGTTTTAAAAAAGGTAAAGTTGTTTTTTTTTTGGATATTTCAACAAAATAATTTATGTTGACATAATTTTAATGACTCCCTAAAATAATAAAAAAGGTACTTGAATGGTGTGAGCATCATATCAACGATCCATTGCCAACTAGCGATGAAGAATCTCAACGTCGACATAATCATGCCGAAATCGATGACTGGGATCAGAAATTCTTAAATGTAGAACAAGATCTCTTGTTTGAAATCATCTTGGTAACTTTACCATTCATTACTTTATGATGTAATATTTATGTTTTGCGCTTTGTGAAAAGGTGATAATAAAAACCTCTATTTTCATCCGCATCAAATAACTAAAAATTAGGCTGCCAATTATTTGGACATCAAACCATTACTGTAAGTCTTTTAATTTTCAAGCTTCGAGTTTTCTTTCTATCGATTATATAGCATTTAAATAATGCAATTCATTTCTCTGTCTAGTGACGTTGGTTGCAAAACAGTCGCAAACATGATCAAAGGGAAAACTCCCGATGAGATTCGTAAAATGTTCAATATTGTAAACGACTTTACTAAAGAAGAGGAGGAACAGATTCGCAAGGAGAATGAGTGGGCTGAGGATAGATAAATATGTGTTCCTTTTATTAAATGTTTTATGTAAAGTAGTATGAAATTCTTTATTTATTCTACATACTTTAGTGGATAAAATACGTAGTTTCTTGCTACATGCTTCTTTCTAGTATTAATATTTAGATTTAGATTACGCTGAATACGTATAAAGATCGATGCATTAAATTTGAAGTTTGTCCCTTAAAATATACATGTACTTTGCAAAATTTAAATTTATGGTGCGTATCGTCTAAACTCAATATTTTGAATTTTATAAACTTCTTGACTAAGAAGTAAATTCAAACTTTAATCAATAATATTAAATTTCGTCTTTACTTCTTAGTCAAGAGGTGTATTGAATTTATAAAATTCAATATATTGATGAGTTTAGATGTTATGCACCAAATCATAATAATTAACAAATTAAACAAATATCAAAATCAGACCAAACATTTATTTATTTTTACAACAAATTATCAGAAGATTATATAATATGTTAATTTATAATGTCATATATATTTTTTCCGATTTTTGAAAAGTTATTTTAGTCATTGTAAAATTTTCTAAATCAAAAATATTTGATTCTTATTGCATTCTTTGATTATTATTTATAAAAATAAAAAATATTATAGATTTTTACATGAAAAAAATTCAGATATCATGATATATTTAAGAGTTATAATAATAGAAAAATGCATATTTATTTTTAAAATTTTATATATAAATAAAATTTTCTTTTTATAAATTAAAAAAAGATTATAGTATAATAGTATATATTAATGTAATTATATATATTTGTATAAAATACTTTTAAATCTAGTATATAATTCAAAAAATATTACTATAATTTGATAGAAAATAATAAAAATTCATTATATTAATTAAACTATTATTTTTAAACAATTTTATAAATTATAAAAATATAATAGTATGAATTTTATAATTATTTTACTATATATATAAATTATTTAATTTAATTTATTTACTTTTATTTTTTAAATAGCAATATACAAATATTTTTTTATAATAATATATTATTTATATTATAATATTTAATTCTTTCTTATAAATAAAATTATTATAAAAATATTTAGAAAATTTTGAATTTATCAATATCTTTAAAATATAATAAATTAAACTTTTTTTAATATTAAAATTTATTTTTATTAAAAATATTTTTATTTTTATTAATAAATTTTATTATTATTATTAAAATAAAAATAATACTTTATATTTTAATATATAAATCTCTTTAGATTTTCAGATTTTATTTTTTTGATAATAATTATTTAATTAGAAGAGATTTAAAATATAGTGATAATCAAAAATAATTACTCAGAGACTAAATTTATTAATAAAATATAGTGAAAATTGAAATTTTCTCTCTATATTAAAATTTATAATTTTATTA